TATTACCTTTTGCAATATAGATTCTCTAAATCGCATGCAACCTATTAAAGGCTATTGACATGACCACTGTCACAAATGCAGTGCTCTTTTGCAACCACAGGCACTCTCACAGCACTTCAGTCTTGAGGATTGCATTGAACACGTCCTTGGCTTTTGGAGACGTCACCGTCACGATTTCCCTCTCCTCTCGATGCTGGCAAGAGCAGTGCTTTGTGTTCCTGCAACCAGCGCATCGAGCGAACGCGCTTTCAGCTCAGCAGGTCGGGTGCTGGAAGCGCGTCGAAACAGGCTAAACCCCGGCACGGTGGATTCCATCCTCTTTCTCCACAGTGCTTCCAAACAGCTGTCATAAATAGGCCTATGGTTTTCAATTTGGAGTTTTCAATTTTCTGTTCTACTACTTCAATTTAAACAATTAATAAGTTCAAAGAAGACCAGTTCATTAAAATCTAATAGTGTTAGTACAGTAGTAAATAGTAGAGTTCTCAGATCTGATGTTACATCAGATGTTACAGTTTTGGCATGCATGCGCGCTTGATGTCTAATCCAATAAAGAACAACGTAAAAATCGATCTTTCAGTGTCTTTGATGTTGTTTGGTACTCAATTAATCTTTCATGAAATTGTATCATTTTTACTGCGAATCTAGCGCAAATACTTGTCATCTATGGCTTACAGTGTCACAAATAAGTCTAAGACATATGAAGATCATGTCGAGTCACTGGCATGTGTCCTGAGGGCCCTCCAACCTCACGGGGAGAAGTTCAAGCCAACCAGGAGCAAGCTCTTCAAAAAGGAGGTCTGTTATGTAGGAAGGCTGGTCTCTGCTGATGGAGTTTGGATTGACCTGAAGGATCTGGAAGCCTTCCAGGCTTTGAGAAGTACAACCCCCAGCACTGTTGGAGAACTCTGTAAGATTCTAGGACTCTTCAGCTATAGCCGGACATACATACAAGACTTATCTAGAGTCACCAAGCTGATGTATGAGCTCTTTCTGGCCAAAAACACTGCACCTGTGATGCTTCAGCTCAGGCAAATGAGGTGGAAAGGGGCACAGCTGTCATCCAGGACCCTGATCAAGTGGGCGGGAAAGCACCAAAGAGCCCTGGACCAGCTCGTACATATCCTGTCCAACCCACTAGTGCTTGGTTATCCTGACTTAACCTCCCTTTTGTGTTACATACAGACGGATCAGGACATGGGCTTGGTGCTGTGCTATACCAATGCTAGGGAGGGAAGCTCAGAGTGATTGGCTATGGGTCCAGAACACTGATGCGTACAGAACAAAATTACAACCTGCACTCAGGCAAACATGAGTGGGAGAAACTCCACCTCAAAGATGGTCTGCTATACAGGAAAACCAGTTAGCGGAGCCGACTTGTCCTGCCTGGCCAGTACCGATCTATGGTCCTGAAACACCTCCATGATGACATGGGTCATATGGGGACAGAGAGAGTCCTGGGGCTAGCTAGAGACTGATTCCATTGGTTATACATGAAACAGGATGTTGAGGTTTACATGACAAGAAAATGTCCCTGTATCAAGCAGAAAAAACTTGTCTCCCATGGGGAGCATTACCACTGGTTCACCCCTGGAGCTTGTGTCAATTAACTACTTTCAGTCGGAGGCTAGCAAGGGAGGCTTTGAGTACATTCTGGTTGTTGTAGACCATTTTACCAGGTTTGCACAAGCCTATGCAACCAGAAATAAGTCTGGAAAAACAGCTGCAGAGAAACTCTTTGATGATTTCATCCCACGGTTCGGCTACCCATGGAAATTATATAATGACCAAGGGAGAGAATTTGAGAATGAACTGCTCAAAAACATCTGCGTGGAATGAGTCATTCAAGGATCACTCCGTACCATCCTCAGGGAAATCCTGCTGAGAGATTTAACTATACCTTATTTCAAATGTTCAGAACCCTGGAGGAAAAAGAAAAGGAAAGATGGAGAGAACCCCTACCACAAGTCATTAATGCTTATAACTGTACCAGACATGAGGCGACTGGGTTTTCACCCGTCTATTTGATGTATGGCCATCACCCACGTCTTCCCGTGGACATGATATTTGATTTGGGGGAGAAGCCACGTCTCCCAGAGGCTATGCAGAGAAGTGAGCCTCTAGAATGAAGGACGCTTACAGACTCAACTCTGAGAGTAGTCAACAGTTAAGTTCTCAAGAAAAGAGACACTATGACCGCCACATGAAGGGTGTTGTCCTTGAACCAGATAACCGCATCCTGGTACATAACCTGAGGGGGGCCAGGTAAGCTAAGAGCATACTGGGAAGACAAAGTCCATGTTGTTAAGGAGAGGATTGCTGATAGGCCTGTTTACAAAGTCACCCCAGAAACAGGTGGAAACAGAGTACGAACACTACACCGTAACCTACTTCACTTGGTCAATGACTTACCAGTAGACTTACCTCAGCCATCACAGAAACCACCAATTGAAAGGAAGAGAGACTCACCAAGACACTTACCAGCTCCATCAATGGAACCACTTCCACAGAGAGCAAAGAACAACAGACAGTCAAATACAAAGAAACAGAGTGAATGGAACCCAAGCAGTGTTACTTCTGATGACAATGAACCACCTTTCTGGCTGAGAATACCTGTAAAGAGAGGACTTGAGCATACAAGTACAGCCTGTATGTGAGCCTCAGAGACACTATAATCAGGTAACAACCACTGACAGAACTGAACCGACCCAACCACTTATACTTGAAAGAGAAACCAGAAGTGTACATGCCGGTGAAAGAAGAGGGGATATGTTTGATATAGAGAGCAGAGAAACTGTACACAGAACACACAAGGAGGAACAGGCAGAGGAGGAGCACTTATCTGTTGATCCAATCCCTGCAGAATGTGAGCAAGAAGACATGATGCATCGAGGCAATCGACTGGTAACCCCTCAGTCAGTATGCAGTCCAATGATGATCAGGCTAATCAGCTGCAAAGTCGAAAGTCCACTCTTGAAAGGAAGCCTACACAGATGTTCACATACAACTCATTAGGCCAACCATCGTACCAACCCCACCAAGTTTAGAACATTTGTATAGTTGGTGTTATTGTTTGATATGTATACTTTTGAATTGTTATATTGTAAGCACTTAGTTAAACTTTGCAGGTCTTCAGCTTGTGCATTTATACTGAACTGACAGTCATTACTAGCAATGT